GTATTTTGAAAAACTATAACACAATCTTATAATAATTTAGAAAAATCAAAATCAGTTTACATGCAACATTTAAACAACCAAAATCAGCTCATGTCAGCTTCCTTAATCTATATGTTTTTTTTTTTAATTTTGAGAGTATCACAGGTCCATAGAGAGACTCAGACTAATCCCCAAAGGGATGTGCAGTCTACGGATGGACCCTCACTCCGGATATTTTAATTGACTGTAAGATAGACTCATATTCGCGTGTCCACAAGGTAAGATGTAGTGGGGTGCCTTTGAACCCGGATTGCTTAGCAAATTCTAAAGTTCATCTACCACTAGATCACCATCTTGTGGTTTCTTAATTTATATGTTAGAACGTAAAATTTAAAGACCAATTATCCGCGCGTAGCACGAAAAAACGACCTAGTAAAAGTAAAATTCACTGAAACCAAATTATTTTCAGTTTAGTTTGAGATCAAAAGCTCGAAAGAGAACATAAAAGAGATAATTATATTAATTTGGGTAAATTTAAACGTATGTTTTATCCTTTATAAATAATGAATACTAGCTAAATTTCAAGGGTTGCGTTTAGATTATGTATGCAAATTTTCATTTTCTTTCAAGATACTCTTTTTAAAAAAAAAAAAAATAGTTTTGTAAAAACAGCTTGTGTCTAATGCTATGTACTATTTATTTATTGTATTAGGAATTTCAATTTGAGTTTCAATTCTTTGAGTAGAGCTATTACCAATATCCTTCTGATGTTCATAGTTAGCCTGATCTATGTATGCTTATTTTAAATAGACTACTCCTTTTTACATGAAATCAATTACTCAAAATGATTGTTCAGTTTATCTGATGACGAAAAGATTTGCGAATTATTAATAAGAATAAGCGGTACTTTGTTCTATCTCATTGAAAAAAGGAAAGAGAAAAAAGCAACTTGGAACTGAAGACATTCGGTTAATGATCTTATGATAATGACAAAATGGGTTAATAGTTATTTAGTGATAGTAGTCCAGTAGTCTTGAGGGAATAAATCTAATATGGTGAACTTTGGTTTGAACTCTGCTGAACAAACGGATATAATATTTTTTTCGCCTCATTTAAATGTCTAGCAGAGAATCTATCATGGGCTATATTTCTACCCAGATTAGGTCTGTGTCTTTAATAAATTCATGTTTAATTCCTTTTTGTCTCAAAAACAAAGATCTGTTAGTAGCTTATTTATATTGGGAACTCTCTGATTTTCACTAAGTTCAGAAGAATCGATCGTCCTTTTTTTATGTCGGGTCCAGAGTTTCATTTCGAACAGTTTCTCGGAAAATGCTCTTTCAGTTTGGTGAGTTTCTACAAGTACAAAGAACGACGTGGCGGCAAGACCCTTTATGCCGCTGCGAAAACCTCCGACGAGAAACACGTTGAGGCTCTACGAAGAATTTGAAATCTTGTCTGAACTCAAAGGATGTCCGAGAATTTTCCAGTGCTATGTGACCCAACTCAAAGTGCAAGAGACACTCAACGAAGAAGATTTCTTGGAGTACAAGATTCACATGGAGTATGCACCTGGAGGAAGCTTGAGGAGTTTCGCCAACCAATTCGAAGACAAGAAGTTGTGTGATGCTTTGGTCAGAGACTTCACTCGGATGCACTTCTCGAAGGCTTAGCCACGATCCACGACACGGGTACGCTCACTGTGATCTCAAAGCAGAAAACATCCTTGTCTTTTCGAGTCGTGTCAACAAAAACGGTGCGTGGAAATCCTCTTACGAATTGAAGATTTCGGATTTCGGGTTGTCGAGAAGAGATGGAGACAATTCCTGGTGGCAACCTCATCACCCCTTTGTCGGAACAGGATCTACATGTCTCCGAAATCGATTCCTCACGGAGATACAGGGAAATGCCTTGGCTTGACTTGTGGTCTTTGGTTGTATTGTATTAAAGATGTACACATGAAATAGACCTTGGTGGCATAAACATTACAAACCGAAGGATCTCAAGAACTGCCATGGGCCGTTGATTCCGCGAGATCTTCCTTTTGATGCAAAATCTTTCTGATGACATGCTTCTCACCCAAGGCAGATGATAGAAAAGACGCATCGACTTTTCTGAATCACATCTTTTTGCGTGGAGATGTTAGTATGATCACAAAGTCGCCTATAATAACTCGAGGAAAATCACTGTGGAATTGGAGAAGCTTAGAGAGAGGCTTTCTGGAGCTAGGTCTATTTGTGTATAGACTTGTTAGAGTGAAAAGTCATTGTCAATGCGTAGCAAGACCATCTGGTTATTGTTTTATTTTTATTAGTAGAATTATGTAACAGTTTTGTTGGTTTTTTGTTTTTGTTTTTGCTCAACTACAACTTTTATTAACCAAAACTTTCATTAACCAAATGGGAAATACATGATTTTGAGCTCACAGAGATGAAACCACACTTACAATGAAGTGATCTAGTATCACATAGGAACACATACATGGATCCTAAGCTACATGAATCGAAACTCCATTGTATATTCACCCAACGAGAGCAAACTCACTCCATACAGAATAAGCTGCCTCTTAAACCATCTAAATTGACCAAACTGAGACAACAATTCTAATAGCTCGACAATAACAAGGCTAAAACCAGATTATAGTTTGCCCATAACATTAAACTCCTAAAGATTAGAGTGACTGACCCGGTCCAATATCTCATCGCCTTGCGGCGCAAATCTGGTGAGAATCCATCACCACAGAGGTTCAGAATCCGCTCCTTAGCCATGAACCGGGAAAGAACCCGTACTGAAAGTCGGACGTTGGCGAACATACGGTGATCGGACAAGTAATTAAGGTGAACAATGGTGTGAGGTTTCACCACTGAGTGAGACGGGAGACGTCACCACCGGTGCTGGGATGTGAACCACCACTGCATACCTATTGCAGAGCTCGTCCTCCGGTATACTCCTCCAGTGAAGCAAAAATCTGCGAAGCTTCTTCCACGAGAACCGAAGGCTAGAACCACTTCACCAAACATCATGTCACACCTCAGCTTGCCTCATCGTCACACAAGACCGTAGGTCCGGAGTGCAAGAGGTCTCCCACTGAGTCACGCGCCGTCGTTTAAGAGGAGCGCCGGAGATCTAAAACGGAAAATTGACTCGTTAACTCCTCTCAGCCCTAAAATCCGACCGGGCCCACTTCCACCATCCTACGACTCACTGCTCCTACAAGAACGCCGTGAATGGTCCCCTTGACCACACAAGTCTCCAGAGTCACCCCGACAAATCAGAACAGCACGCATATCGTCATAGGGTTTGGGTGGGAATGGAAAAGGCAAAGAGAAAAGAAGATAAAGAGGAAGAGGGGAACCTCCGGCACCGACGAACATCGGACCGGAGGTAGATCTGAGAATTTATTTTTTTTGTGGTGGCTGGGGGAGAGAGTTTTGTTGTTTTTTTTGTTTTTGTCATCAACATAAGATTTTTGTTGGTATATCACTGAATTTGAAGGTATTGGTCCATGCTTTATGTATGACTAATTTGTTCTATATATAAAAAATTTGTGGAACTTACAGTGAAATCGTGTTACTGTGTTTTTTTTTTCATCCAAAGTAGACTTTATTAGTTTGCTAAAGGTTCAGACAGGCAAGCATCATTAGCAAGCCAAGGAGGAGCAAAGGCTCCAAGAAAACAAAACCCAGAAACTCATGATCGTCTTGCCTTTGAAAGGCAGTTTGCACAGACATTTTCTGAACGACGAATAAAACTAACATGATACGAAGAAAATTCTGCACTCAAGAAGTCAATCTCGTCTAATTCCGGACTCAAAGCTGGCCATTCCTGAGGAGTGTTGATAAGTCGGACAATTTACTTGCAATCTGATTCAAATCGGACTTCAATAGCTCCCAACTTTCTCGTCTCCTTCATTGCCCAGCAAAGGCACTCTGCTTCCGCGTGTAGCGGCGTCGAGACGGGGTTTCCTTTCATAACGCCCGTCCACCTTACTTGTTTGTCTTCAAACAGTATGAAGCCCATACCCGCACCATCATCCCTCTCTTTCCATGAAGCATCGACTTGACAAATCCATTTAAAGGCTTGTCTTGGAGGTTCCACAGGTTGTCTTGTGGTTTACCCTTCAGAGCTCTGTTCCTTGTTTTCCTCTACAATTTGCGCAATTCGCCACGCCTCCACTTCCCTACTTGCAAGCTAGAGTGTGTCAATTGGCAATATATCTTTTGCTTTGAAGCACTTCTGTGTTTATTTACTGACATTAAGCGAACAACTTGAAATATCATATCTGTTGCTCTTCAGGTCTTGGAATATAATAAGCGATTGAACTCATTTTAGCAATATGTCATAGCTCAGGCCTTCTTTCATTTTCTCTGCTCTTGGTTGCATTTATAGTTTACTTAATTTGGAATCCTAATTTCTCAAACTTTTTTCAACTTATTAGTTGCAACTAACAAGGGGTTAATTAATTTAGCTTCCCCTGTTTTTTCTTCTTACATTCCTGACTGCTCAAGAATTCTGACATTGTTACTAAAGCTCTGTTAAACTATTAAAGCTGACATAATGGCAAATCAAGATATGTTAGTTATCTTCCCAATATTACTTGGTGGAAAAAAACAGTAAATTCGTGAAAACAAAATAGACGGTAAAAAGGTCTATAAATTTACATTGGTCATGTCATGTGAGTCTCATGAGAATCTGATGATTAGGGCATAATCGTCAACCAGTAGATCTTCACACGCGTTAAGATAGATTCTCCACATAAACAAGCATACCCGAAGGGCAAAATAGTCATCAGAACAAACTAATTTCCTTTTTCCGATACTTTCAAAAGAGGCAAATACCGTGTAGTCTCGCTTCCACTATAAAAACACGAAACAAGAGTACTGAGATCAACTCTTTGTTTCTATTTTAATTTTAACACTCTCAGGTTTCTAGGGTTTCTTCTTGCTTACGCGTTTTCTTCTTTACTAATCCTTCGAGAGATTTGGTTGGTCTTTTTCTAGGGTTTACGACAGAGAAAGATAATGGCGATCATAAGAGTGGGGCGTTGCAGAGACAAACCATTCATGAAATTCGTCAAGTTTCTAGGTAAAGGTTCGTACGGCTCCGTCGATCTCTACCGTCACACAAAACAAGACGGCTCAACCTCTTTCACCGCCGCCAAGATCTCCTCCGACCATCGAACGATCGAAAGAGAGTTTCGAGTTCTCTCCCAACTCAAAGGATCTCCTGGGATCGTGCGAGTGTTAAGCCCTTCTCTTCACGAAGGCTTCGACTCTTTTGGAGACAGAGTCTACGAGATGCCTATGGAGTACGCGTCTGCTGGTTCTCTTTCCAGTTTCATCCACCTTAACAAACAGTTAAGGGATTCGACCGTCAAAGACTTTACTCGGATGATACTTCAAGGTTTGGTCTCGGTTCATAGCCACGGTTATGTCCACTGCGATCTTAAACCGGATAATCTCCTTCTCTTCCCGGTTTACGATCAGCAAACTTGGACTTACACTTACCAACTCAAGATTGCGGATTTTGGCTTGGCGTTGAAGGAAGGAGAGGAAGAATCTGATAACTGGGATTACCATTATCCCTTTGTGGGAACTCCCTTCTACATGTCTCCCGAGTCTGTCCGAGATGGTACGGTCGAGAAAGCCCTAGATTTGTGGTCTTTGGGTTGCATTGTTCTTGAGATGTACACTGGTAAGCGTCCGTGGTCAGAGTTTAAGAGTCTTTATGATCTTGAGGATGTTTTGGCGGTGGATAAAAGGGTACCTGAGATTCCAGATACTGTGCCGTGGGATGCAAGGCAGTTTCTTGACAAGTGTTTCGCACTGAAACCTGAAGATAGAGGAACCGCTTCTGAGTTGTTGTTGCATCCGTTTCTGGTCGGAGATGATAAGAAGATGGAGGATGCCACTGTGGGCGCAGATATGGGGTTAAGCATCATAAAACCTCCGGCTAAGTTGGAAGATAGTGTTACTACAAAGAAGGCATTGAAAGTGAAGATTGTTTCATCGAAGCTCCCATTCTTTAAGAGAGTATCTAATAAACCCCTGAAGCTGAAGATTATTCCTCCTAAACCTCCAAGTTCCACTTTTGTTCCCGTTCACTAGAGTTTACTGACAAGTAATTACCACTGTAACAATTGTTGATTCTTTTATTTGTATCTTATAGTATGAAAGTATAATTGATATCAATGTAGTTCCACTTTTTCTATGTCCAGTTCACTAGAGTTCACAGACTACAGTTGTTTGCTAATTCAGTAACTCAAATTGATTGTAGCGTTTTTGAAAATACAACGGAAGGTTTCAAACATACGGCCCAGTTAATAATCGTCTCATCATAAAAAGCATAGTAGTTAGTACTAGTATCTAATCACCAACATCAGAGGAACCACTTTTGTTTTGGTTAATAGGGAACCCTCTATACTAGATTAGAATACAATTACTCAACTGGTTTCAAGTACATAACCAATGTACAAAATGACAATGACAGTATGCATAGACTCATTTCCCTCTACAGCTTTCACATAATTGTCAAATACAGCTTTTAAAGTAGTTTACATTGAATCATGTCATTACAGTGCAATAGGCAAATTACATGTATATAGACTAATAAAGCCCAACCAGTGTTACTGTAACACTGTCAGGTAAGAGAAGAGAAGACCATGAGAACCCAAAACCTCAGACGAATAAGTGTTCCTCCCTCAATTGATTAGTCAACTGCTTTAGAAACGTAAGACAAAGAGGAGCCACCAGATTCGCAGTGTTCATGGTGATAAGGGCTTCTGTTTATGAAAGATGCAACATTTCTTTGAACTCGTCAACTGTCCCGTCTCTCCATGAGAAGTTCTTCTTCTTCATTTTCAACCGAAGTACTAATCTTTCTGTAGGCTGTGACTGGTAAACAGGGGTTTCTAAGATGACAGAGGTTGTTGCTGAAGAAAAAGGCCTGGTCACTGTGCTCATGGCTCAAAATATAGCTTTTAGCTGCTAAAAACTTGTGTTCTTTGTTCAAGATTCAGTAAAGCCAATATCTCACAACTCACAAGGACCACGGACATAAAAAGCTATCTCTGAGAAGCAACAACGACAACATGCTTAAACCTTAAAAAAAATGGTAACAGTTACTCAGTGATGAATTGCAAAGAGCTAAAGAACACAAACAACTGCAGTTTCACAGCAGAAAAATAAAATCAGTGTTTATGCTGATTTTCGAGAAGTCCCAAACTGAATACAAACAAAGACGAGAAACCAAGTTGAAAACTTGTGAAAGCCATCACACACAAAGAAGCAAATAGTTAAGCTTGGTCTTTTTTATTACTTGGAAACATTTATGTCTCTTCAGAAAATGTTAACCTTTAAATTGGCTTCTCTGTGTGAATCTCAGCTAAGATCAAAATATATCCTATTTCAAAACCAACCCCACCAAAATTGATTATGTAACCTCCCGACCGCCCATAACTAATGGGTCGCCCACAACTAATGGGCCACCCACAGCTAATGGGCCACCCACGCCCGCTCTCTCGGTCTGTGGGTCCATCACGTTCCAACGGCCGATCCGTTAATTTTTCGGGTCATGTTTACTGACCCTCCAATCACCACATGACCTTTCCCCGTGCTTTGGCCTCACTTACACGGTATCACAAATCACTTCCCGATAGGTCACCCATCCTTTGACTACTACAGCTCAAGCACGCTTAACTCTGGAGTTTTCTCTGGATGTGCTCCCGAAAAAGTAAGTGCACTTTGGTGACATAGGTAGTCAAATCAATTCTTTTAAGCCTTTCCACATATCACAACTCAGAATGTTACAGATTCCCTACAAGATCTGAACCTTAAATTACTTTAAAATTTATGTCTGAGGAAGACGATAAAAACACAAATCTAATTCTATTTGAGCAAAAGTCAATTCGGTAGGTAGAAGAAAGGCCAATTCCAGGCTGATTTCTACGATCCTATAACACCGAAAAGATTCATCCTTCAGAGAAGAAAATCAGAACAAACCCTGAAGATGAAGAAGAAGTCATCGATGCGCTCGCTGACGAACGAACGTCGAATGTTAGATGGATCGAGAAACTCCGCAAACTTTTTACTTAACCCAACTTCCCCGTATAATCAAGAGAAATACAATCCAAACTCCGCACACTTTTATTGAATAAGAGGGGATTCTGTTTGAACCGAGTTCGGTCATGTATCAGTGAGGTGAGTGACTGGACTCGTCGGCGGGTTATTACGAAGGTACGAGTAGTAATGAGCAAAGAAAGGGGGTTTATTTATAGTCGGGAAGTGATTACAAAGAGAGTCCCCGGTGCTCGGAGAGCTTGACCGGAGATAACGTATGGACTAGCCGGTGACGACAGAGTAAACAAGGTAAGAAAACCCTAATCTGAGTTGCCGCCTAGTGAGTCTAATTTTCGGATCCCCACTTCGTACTCCCATCCTCGCCTTTTATAGCTTAACCCTCTCGCTCGAGCTTGACCTAAGTTGGTGCCGATTAATGGGCCCCTGGTGTTGGGCCTTTTCTCGACTCGGCAGGATGAGCTCCTCAGTCGTACGGACACCACTCGGGTATTAACCGATTATGTGTCAATGTTGATGATTCGTCCCTTATTGGGCCGAGTATGATTCCCTGTGGTCCCTGAGGGGTGGGTACAGCCCACCTCCTACAGTAAGTCCCCCCAGTCTATTGACGATCGGTCGGTGAGTTAATAGAATTAACTGCTCGGTTTTGAAGGAAAGCATACTCGGGGCATAAGAAAAGATTCCGGGAACGTCTTCTCGCACGAGGAGTTTACTCGGCGATGAGACCGACGCGAGGTTATGAGCCGGGTCTTTCATTCGGTGTTTACGCACTATTGCTGATGCTTGCAGATTACTCGGCGGTCGAGCGAGAGTGATTGCGTTGCTCACTCGGCTCTCGATTGGTTGGCGTTTATTGTGGGTCACTCGGCGGTCGAGTGACAGTGAACGCGTTGCTCGCTCAGCTCTCGATTGGTTGGCGTTTCCCGCGGATCACTCGGCGGTCGCGCGAGAGTGAACGCGTTGCTCACTCGGTTCTCGATTGGCTGGCGTTTCCCGCGGATCACTCGGCGGTCGCGTGTGAGCGATTGTTTTATTTACTCGACGATCGATTGGTTATCGCTCAAGGTATACAGAACGAGAATACGAACGGTCGCAAGTGATGAGCTTTTCCTATAAGACTCGGCCCATTAAGGACGGAATGCGAACAGTCGTGAAATGAAAAGTCCATCTAGGTCTTCGTAGACCTAATAAATGCAGCAATGAGATTCGCTCCCCCTTCCCCCTATATATATCCCTCTTGCCTTCGCTCTTCTTATTCTTCTCCGCGAAATCAGGTACTACTTTCTCTCTCTAGAAAGTTGTAAGATATATACGCACTACCGGTTACCCCGAAAGCGATTAACTCGGGAAGAGAAAGGGAAAGACGTTGCGCGAGATGCGACGACCGGCGAGCCCTTGGATTTTCGAGCTAGAGCACCGAGCGGCGTTGCGTGATTCGGCCAGTCTCGACTTGGCACAAAGGCTTCTCGTGGTCGACTCGGAGAGGGAGTTAAGGGGATAAAGTTCTGGCAATGTGGCTGCCGAGTTACTCGGCGATCCGCAATTGAGTCGGGATTCCTCAGCGCAGTCGATTAGACCAAACACCAGAGGTCGTGTTAATAGAGTGAGAGGCGGGACAGGGAATGCTAGGTCAGCTGGCGGGGTCCGAGTTGATGTGCCTTCTGGGGGAACTCAACCCGTCACAGGTCCTCCCCCAGTTCCAATGCGTTACTCGGGAAACGATGTTTTCGAGCGGGGCGCGGAGGTTCCGGCAAACTTGATTCGTCAGCACGACACTTACACAAACAGGCGCATATGGTCGATGTGGTCTACTCCTGATCGGGTCGAGAGCCTTCTTAAACGTCTTGACGCAGTCGGGGTTACATACTTGATCCCGACTGACAGCCAACGGCCCTGGACTCCTCCGATGGGGTATCAATGTGTTTACGAGGCGTATTTTCAGAAGGACACGAAGCTCTGGTTCCCGATTCCGCGACTTATAACCTCGTACGCTGCTCGTCGTGACCTGGCTATAAGTCAGTTCGTGAATGGCGTGTTCCGTCTCGTAGTCGCGCTGCTGGTGATGGCCTCTGAGCTCGATATTGTGCTTTGCCCCCGAGCTATTGAGGAGTTGACTTCGATCAAACCGCTGGATGGCGACTTTTTCTCCATCACAATGAGACTGAGTTATAACATAATCACGGGGCATCCGTCAAAGACTACGGATTGGCAGCGATACTACTTCTTCGTCAAATCGGACGAATTCTCGTTTGTCGACCCCCCGAATAATGGGTCTTGGGTGTCGTGGAATTGGCGAGCTGGTAGATAGTTATTCTTTACTCGCAAATATGTTTCTTGTCCTGACCCTTTTTCTTGTTCCCGTGCAATGTTACATCCGTATTTGACCAGCGTCCCAGGTTTTTTCTACGAAAACGCTCGCGCATTGGTTGAACTTGGACATCTCAGGTGGCCCGACATAAGCGAAGCGAGGATACGTCGCTACTTGGATCATATTGACGACAGTACAGCATCAAATTTTATGTTATCCTCTCCCTTCCCTCTCCACTTAGTCCTTCTTTTTTTTTTGGGTAAACACCGTCACATCTTGTGCAGGTGAGTGGGATTCGAGACTTCCGTGTGAGAACCGTACTGATAAGAAGCGGTCAATGCTCTTTTCAAGGAAAGAACAGAAAGCCATGAATCGAGCGCGGAGGATGAGAGGCGTGCCTGACTTATCCCTCGAGGTCGAAGCTGACGAAGAGTCGGGAGCGGGGCCTATGAACATCCTAGACATGTTCAATCTGGATGGATCCGATCCCGTGGACGCCACTGCTCCCCCTGCTGGCGACACGTCTAAAATGGGGCCAGCCGACTTCGTGGATCCCGAGAGTCTGCCCGAAGGGGGAATTGTTCAGGAGCCCCCGGTTGCTGAAGAGCAAAAAGTCTCCGACTGCCCCGCCAAGAAAAAGTAGAGGCGAAAGGAGCCTGCGGAAAAATCTGCTGAAGGATCATAGCATAAATCGGGGGGGCGGCGGTTCCAGTTCTGGACCGAATAACGAGCCAGATACTTCGGTTGCTAAAGAGCAACCAGCCTGCCAAGAAGAAGAGAAGAAAGAAGAAGGAATCGACTGGAATATCCGTCGAGAAATCCGCTCAGGAGTCGACAGATGGCGGGCATGATTCTGAGTCAGACGGCGTCCCTACTCTAAGGGATGAGTCGGGGGTCCTGCCGCACGCGGAAGAGACTACGGCCGTGGATCGAGTAAACGACGAATCCCTTCCTGATCTCCCAACTGATCCGGTGGATCCTTCGTCTAACTCTTTGTCCAAAGGGAACTCCGGGAAGAAGAAGGAGGTGAGGGTTACTCTGGGTTCAGTCGCGGCGCCTCTAAGTGATGTCGCCCCTTCAATTCCTGATCTCGAGACTTCACCCACCTCGGTTGATCGCCCGATTACTCGGAGGTTCAAGACCGTCTTTCCCGATAAAGTCTCCTTCTCGTATGACGAGGCGTCTCCGCTGATCTCCAACGGACCTAAATGTGCTGAGCTCGTCGGTCAGATCAGGGGAGGTCCCTGTAGTCTCCCGCTTGCGGACCAGCTGGTCTTTTCCAACGCCTATAAGGACGCTTCGCGCAATTTTCTGACGGTGAGTGTATTTATTTACGCGTATTTCCCGCGGCTCTCGATACTGCCTTACTAGACCTACATATTCCTTCCTCTCCTAATAATTTTTCCGCGTTGGTCAGTCATTTCAGGCCGAGGGTAGCTTCAATTTTCTCGTGGAGAAATACGATTCGGAGCTCAAGAGGGCGTACGCCGACTCGGGTGAAGCTTCCGAAAAAATTAAGGACGGGAAGAAGCGAATCAAGTCGCTGAAAACCTGTTTGAAGCGGGTCAAAGCTGAGAAGGACGAGGCCACCCGTGGTGCAGAGAACGAGGCGATGCGAGCTGAGGATATCTCGAGCAGGTTCGAGTCCATGAGAGCTGCAGCGGCTAAGGTCGAGGAACAGAAGGCCGTTCTACTGGCGGACAAGGCGCGGCTCGAGCGCGAGAAGCTTGAACTTGTTGAAGCTCATGCTAAGGAAGCTGATCGTCTAAGGGAGTCTCGGGTCTTCGAAGTCACTCGGGAACGGGCTAGGGTGACCGCCGTGATGTGTGCCAAGGCATACGTCCGATACGAGCGGATCCGTAACCGGGAAAACTCGTTTCCGCAGTTTGATAATGCTCGGTGCCGCTACAGTCAGGCTTTCGGTACTCGGAGATGTCTAGAGCTTCTTCAAAAGAAAGGGGATCCCATCCCGCAGGAGAGGATTGACTACTTCCAGCGCAAGGAAGAGCACTGGCTTGCGGTAGCTACTCGGCTAGACACCGGCCCTTTGACGGAGCTGGATTTGAGCATGTCCCCCCTTGCCTTGGAGTCGACGTTCGTTGACGAGAACCTGCTCGACGCGCTGGCGTCGGAGTTGGAGAAGGATCTCCCCTCGAATCAGCACGATTCCAACTTGAATCTGATTAACCAGGAGATCGCTGTGTCGCTTCACATACCAAGTCGTTCCGCTGGGGGCCCGTCTGGTGTAAGTGCGGGTGGCACGCTGACTGGTGCTAACAAAAATGCTGACGGTGGAGCAGCCGGGGGTGATCAGGGGAACGCTGCCTCTGCCGGGAGTAAGTCAGCTGGGGATATGTCTGCCACTGGGTCCTCGGAGGAGATTGACTACTCGGATTCGGAAGACTCCGAAAAGAAGGGGGTTAGCGTGGATAGCGATAAGGCGAGGGCTAACCCGGAAGGTCTAGAGATCCCTGAAGAGCAAGGTGAAGAAGTGGATATGAATCAACACGTCACATCTACTGGCGTTTCTCAGCAAGCTCCGTTGATCGGTACTCCTCAGCAGGCAACCGGGGCAGGTGATAAGCAGGCCAAGGAGTGATGCGACTGACCTTGTTTTACTCGGGGAATGTTACCCCTTTACTTTCTTTTGTTTTTCCTGACCCCGTTGGTGGGGTTTGATCATGTATGCCATTTTGTATTTGAACGCGTTCGGTTCTATTTTACCCTTTATTGGTTCGTCATTCGTAGCAGTTTGTTGATTTTGAGTAGTTTTTAGAATTAATCCCGAACAAACTATCAAACAATATCTGAAGTAACTCGTCGGACACTCGGCTATGGAGCCTAATTCCTGGTTATCAAAAATTACTTCGAAGTAATTTAAGTCGAAAATAAACTCGGGTCCTACTTAGAGCAAACTGCTAGGATTCTGTTGTTCGGCCGTTCGAAGTAACCAATTAGTTATCGAAGCCAGTCGGTGGAAACTCGTACGTTGCTCTGGCCGCTCGGCGTCAAATCCGACCACGTGCAAGTGAGAGTAGATTTTTTGGTTATTAACGTTTAAGGTTTTCGATAAGTCGTAAAATTGTTCCGCTGAGCATCCGGGTGGCTGTTCCCTTACTCGGGTACAAATACGAGTTCGAAAATAAACGTTTCCATCTGAATAAAGCACGTCGAGCCCGTCTGATCAAGACGTACTGACGCTTTGAAATGAGTGTTCGTGCGCAGTCCGTCAATTATCTTAATGAGGGCGCGAACATCAGTGGGGTTTCGGATGAGATAAGCTTCACCCGGTGAGTTGGAGCAGCCATCGAGGGTGCGCTCACTCGGGGTAATGTTTTGGGATTACAGCTGAACCCGGTTGGGCTGCCTACGTATCTCGGGAGAGGATCAAGCCGTTCGTAGTTCGTTGGGCCGAGTAGAAGTGACTTGGGCAGTGCATCTACTCGGTGAGTGGAAGTGGCTGTTGAGCGCATCTACTCGGGGTATCAGTGAGTAGAGATGACTTGGGCAGTGCATCTACTCGAGGTATCAGTGAGTAGAGATGACTTGGACAGTGCATCTACTCGACTGTTTTATTTTATTTTTTTGGCGCTCCAGGTAGGGGAAAGTGTTCACGCGGAGTGGTAACGACGGAGGTGCATGGAGTTCCATGCTCGCGGTACCTCTTTCCCTGCTGAAGTTTCTAGTCGGTAGACGCCGGGCTTGATAACTTGAACGATCTTGTACGGCCTTCCCAATTGGCTCCGAGTTTGCCGGCGTTCGGCTCCTTGGTGTTCTCGAAAACTTTGCGTAGGACAAGGTCACTTAAACCGAGAGGTCGGGAGCGGACTTTCTTGTTGTAGTAGCTCTCGATCTGATGCTGATAGTTTTGTATTCGGAGTAGGGCCTGGTCCCGCTTTTCCTCAATCGCGTCAAGTGCGTCGTAAGCTAGCGACGTTGACTTTGGCCGGTGCCATTGCCTCGACTCCGTAAGCCAGTGAGAAAGGAGTGGCTTTAGTTGCACCGCGGGGTGTCGTTCGATGGGACCATAGTACTCCGTCCAACTCGTCTGCCCAGTAACCCTTTTTTAGGTTGAGTCGTTTCTTGATTCCGTCGATAATGGTTTTATTGGATAACTTGGCCTGACCGTTACTCTGCGGGTAGCGCGGAGTCGATGTGTTGAGGCGGATTCGCCATTTGTCGCAGAATGCGCGGAAATGTTGAGAGATGAACTGGGAGCCATTATCCGTCACGATTTCGTGGGGCAAGCCGTGGCGGCAGATGATATTCTTCCAGACGAATAGTTGAACCTCCTTGTCAATAATCTTGGTATAGGCCTCGGCTTCGATCCATTTAGTGAAGTAATCGGTCAGAACCAAGATGAAACGTCGTTGCCGAGAACTCGGCATAGGACCGAAGATGTCCATTCCCCAGCGCATGAACGGGTATGGGGCGGAGATGGTGCGGACCATCTCGGTTGGGGAATGGATAGTCGGTGTGTGTCGCTGACACTTGTCGCAATGCAGGGCAGAGGATGTGCAGTCGGCTGTCATCGTTGGCCAATAAAAACCGAGGTTTTTAATTTTGATCGTGAGGGCTCGACCGCCGGAATGGTTTCCCGCTGCGCCCTCGTGTGTCTCGGCCATGACGAGCCTTGTCTCGTCACCGTGTATGCATTTGAGTAAGACTCTATTTGCAGCGACGCGGTGTAATCGATCGTCAATGATCACGTAGTTCGTGCTCCTTGCCTTAATTCGCTGTGCTTTCCATTTCTCGACAGGTAGTATCCCGTCCCGAAGGAAGTTGAGTAGCTCAGTCCGCCAATCGGTACTCGTGTCTTCTGTTTCGCTCGCGGGGACCAATGGCACCGAGTTGTCATCGTGTGCGTCTTCCATGGGAAAATCTTCTGCGGCCCGTGCGGATGCGCGTGTTCGTACAGCTGCTACCGGGTTGCCGACAGTCGGGTCAATACTCGGTTCTTCGATTCTATGTATCGGAATCGTGCGTTTCACCTGGTCGCGTATTTTTCTCCCTAAGGCAGCGAGAACGTCGGCGCAGATGTTTTCTCCCTGTGGAACCTTCGTAAGTTCGAAAAATTCGAATTCCTGAGGCAGAGTTTTGACCAGGTGGAGGTTAGCGTTCATACATTCGTTCTGAGTATCGTATTCACTGCTAAACTGGCTCGTCACTAGCTGCGAGTCGGAATAAGCGCTGAGGCGCTTTGCATTGACCGCCTTTGCCAGTCGGAGACCCGCTAGTAGGGATTCGTACTCGGCCTCGTTGTTTGATGCCGGGAAGCCGAAACTGAATGATTGCCTAATTAGTTCGCATGTTGGGGACTGGAGTTGCACGCCGGCCCCCGCACCTTGGTTGGTGGCGGATCCATCCACGTGGAGTATTCAGTTTCCTTGCGGGAGTGCTAGCTCATGGGTGTCATGAAGAGGCCAAGAAAAATGAAGAATGTCAACAGAAACCCATCACACGCAGAAGATAAAAATAAAGATAATTTTAACATCATAATAAAATAAAATAACATTTATAGTATTTCACCATGGATGTCGTGGTGATATATCATTTATGTGAAAGTGAAGACAATTTTAACATGAAACTAAAAAAAAATCCGTACCTTTTGATACGATTTTGCCATGGATATCATCTTTGTGACTCGCAAAGGTTAATATATAACTAGGATAAGACATGTGCCTTGCGTAAGATGAATATATGTAATTAAAATATAAAATTTTAGTATTCAAAAATTTAAAATTTACATATGATTGTTTTGTTTGTATTTGAAATTTCAGAATTTTGAAATTTTTATATAATTATCTAGACGTAGGATCAGAAACAATTTTAGTTAGAAATGTAGATCAAATCTTAGAATTTAATGGATCTGATTTCATATTTTTTTTTCACTTTTCAGTCGAGTGATGAAAAATAAATGGATTGTCACTGGGGTTGATTGATAGAGTATTAGCAAGTTCCCTAATGTTTTTTAAGAAACAATTGGTAAAATATTTGCATTTAAAATATATAAAGTTGCAAAACTAATTTAATATAATTTATTTATCTGTCTAATAATATTAGAAAATTATATTTTTTACAAATTATTATTTTTAAAATAATTATAAAAAATTATGTTAAATTTTAAAATATTTTTAAAAATAATATTTTAAGTTTTTCAAATACAAATAAACAATTTAAAATTAATTATGGTCATGATTTAACATAACCATAATGATTTACAAAAAAAATTAAAAATTAACAAATTAAAAATTAGCTCAGTTTTATATCATGATTTAACAATTTAAAAATTAATTATGGTTATGAGAAGTTTACGTTCACGTGTCAGTCCTATTTATCTTTTCTCTTGCTATGTTTTTTTTTTATATTTTGGTTATTACTGGATATAAATATTTATTTTGAATTTTATTCTCATTTCGTTTGTTTTAGAAAATACTTAAGATTTAAAATAATTGAAGAGATACATACTTGGTTAAGATCTGCACTTTATGCACAATAAGTATTTTATATTTATTATTTATTTTATATCTTTCTGCATATTATAAATAATAAAATAATAAATATATATTAAATAACTAAGAAATCAGTTACTATTATGTAATAAATTGGCGTATGCATATAAATTTAACTATTACTCTTATTTATTCATAATTAGGGTAAATAAATCAAAATAATAAATCTTATATATTGTATATGATATATAATTAAATTTAAATGATATAAACATAGTAATATAACACACTTTTAGTATGGATATTTATTAAATGAGGTTTCTACTCATATGATTTTATGATTATTTTCATATTTGTGTAACAAAACTTTACACCAACGATTTTTTTTTTATTTGAGATGTTTAGTTGTTTCAATAATTTATAATCATTTTTTAAAAAAAAATGACATATTTCAAAATTAAAATATTAACTTTTCAATATATGTTCAAGACAAATATCAAAATATAAATATGTATTTTCATACGATGTATAGTTTAATTAAAATGATATTAAATATATATAAACTAAAATTA